AATAAGAGATATTTTAATCCTAGAAGACCCTTCTTAAGGTGACAGCCTGCCACACGTCGGTGTCCCGCCGCGTCTTGAACACGATTCCCCATTGGCCAACAATTCCCCAACCAGCTACAACTACGCGACCACACTCACCTTCACCTCGTTCACCAGCAAACTGCTTGATTGCATTTGGCGTGGCGTTTGTCGTCGCTGCCGGCCCGGTTTTTGTGGTATCAACCTGCTGATTGGTTGGTTTGTAGGAGAGACGATAACCCCAGTACTGTAAGTACCGAATCAACTCGTGGGTTAAGCGACGGTAGCGTTTGCGCTCACGATCAGTCAAAATATCGTAGGGCACCAAAAGTTGATGAACACCGCCACCTAGGAGAAAGGCAGGAAGGTATATGCGTAGAAAATGACAGAAAAGCGCTGTTTTTTTTCAACCTTACATGACTTATTGGTCCACTTCACCGAACAGTGTTGCCAATAGCAACTTACCAATTTCCTCGAGTTCTTCCATCTTCTGCTTTGCCCAGATCTGATGAGCATTATCGGCCAGTCGCTCGGCCAAGTCGATTAATTCTCGAGTCACGTTAACCCCGTGAAGGTCTTTCGGAGCCGGAATGTATCCCTGTGGACTTTCAGTTTGCTAAAAGGAGAAAAAATTTATTAGGCTTATTACCTTGATTAGTCAGGGAAGCTCTTCTATGCTAAGCACGCCACGAAAGTGGGACCTGGTACTTTTAATTTTGACGGGGAACTACTTGTGCTAATGATATGGGATTCGGTAAACGTAGTACCTCTCAAACAGCATCACCCTACCTATAACTAAATAAATAGATTGATAACCCGAAAATAATGAAGAATCAATTGCGTGTAGGAATACTGATAGGTTTGCAGTAGTTCATGAGCACTCAGGACCATTTCATTTTGCCATTTCATTTGCCACCTCATATCACCGGAAACAGTACTCAAGCAAGACAAAATACTCACACTGTGGATAAACTGTCTTCGACGATGACCCAATCCAGTTCCATCGTCCTCATGGCATACTCCTGAAGGATCGATGGTCCAGCCAAGAGCGAGCATTGCACGCAGAGTCTCTGTCACCGGCTGAATGTAGCGCATTTGATCCTAAAAAATGGAGGAGAACATATGAAAATGCAATCAATTTGTCCAGTTGGAGATTGAATAAGGCCGCCATCCATGAGCTCGGGACAGAAGGTGGCTAATTTGAAATCCACATAGAACAAAAAATTGGGTAAGATAGTGGATAAAAACCAGTACATATGCAGACTGGTGGAAGGTTATACCGACAGACGGAGGACTGAATGAGAGGGTAGCTAAACAAATAGCAAGTTAGTGCGTCACGCAGATGGATAGTCAGTCAATCCTTTGTAAGAGTGAATAGACGGAAGGACATAGGGCGAAGAGGTCCAAGTTGAATAGGTAGATCGGTGGATGACACACTAAGTGAATGGTTTAGGAGGGGGTGCCTAGATGGAAGGACTAGATTTAATAAAGTCAAGATGGATCTGGGGTAGAGAAGTGGATGGGTGAATGGGTGAACTAATGGACAAGCCATTAGAAAGACAGCTTAATGGACAAACAGAGGTATAAACAGCCTACCCGTTGGGATAGCGAGTGATAAGACCGTATATTGGGGTGGGTACGTCTCGCCTCGTCCAGTGTCAATCCGTAGATATAGCCCTGATCCACCAACTCCTGCGCCCAAGTGTCGTGGCAGTGCTTGGCGAATTGGTCAACCAGAATGCTCAGTGCCGCTGGTAGTTTGATCTGCAAGTGGACCCAACTAATCACGTCACACAGGAGGCAACATCATGCTACTGGCCAGATGGTGTGAAGCCATCTAGGGTGCAGGACGAAGTAATGTGTGTTTATGGAATATTAGGCCATTAAATATGAAGTTTCCGGTACATTTTACTAAGTTTATTCTGTTCAGGCACAATGGCAATTTAAATGTCGAAAAAACCATAGATAGAAGTAACTTTCACCTCCGATAGTAAAAATGCCTCTTTACAATGACTTTAAGGGACGATTATTATTCATGTAACAACCCACAAAAGGTGCTAAATGTAGATAGAAATGAGACAATACCTATAAAATGGTCTAATTTCAATAATTACGCCTATTCTCAATCACCCAATCATATGATAGGAGTTATAAATGTTGGGCTTCATAACAGACCTGGCATTTGTAGATTAAACACAGCCTTCACACAAATAAATAAACTTATTTGCTGTGAAGATAATACAAATTTAAGCAAAACATCGAAATTCAAATTCTATATTAGACTGAACCATGATTGCGACTAGCCAATAAAAACGCTAGATTTTGCGGTGAATACTGAGATCTAATTGGTTCATCGCGATGTATTATACTAATCTAATTGGTAAAAATTAAAACTGCGGTTGGATAGTCCCCCAATAAAAATTGGTATTTACTACCGAATTTAAAATAAATCAAGGTAAAACTCATTCGTTTTTTAAAGGAATTAAATTAAATGTCAAAGGCCATTGGGTTTACCGAGATGGCCGACTAAAAGTTTACCACAAAATCAGTTCCCACATTTACATCAAAGTCCTTATTAAAAATGTCAGGAAAGCAAACATATTATTCACAATAGTTCGTTTTAAAAACATCAATGGGGTAAACTTACTGATGAGGTTACAAGAGGAGTGGGTCTGAAGCTTTCGTGCTGTTGGTTGGATCCTCGCAAGTCTGCTGCGCTGTCTGGTCCACCGGGATGAACAGAAACTGCAAGACGAGCAGAAAAATTTGTGTGGTTTACTAACTAGCCACAGTTAACTAAGGCGTTTCAACCAATTACTAAACTAGTTGGATAAGTAAACGCTGAAATTTGAGAGTGCTATGATTGCTTAAGTTTTCAGAGGTTTTTACGGACCCCTCGTGTGGAATGGTCAACTTTAAGCCAAAACTGACCATCGAGTCCCATGGTGTCATCTTCTCCGATCCTCGATTGCGCATCCCAATGCGAAGAGCAGTAATCGGGAGGCAGTGCACAACCGATTGCTGTCAGACATGGCAACGCGTAGACATACAACTCCGCATCATATCGACGACATGAGAGGTTGTTAAAAATGAGACTAAAGAGCTCTGCAGTTAGGTTTTTCTCCTCTTCTGTCGCTGTTGCGGTCGTTCCAACAGCCGTCGATCGAACAAACGAGGTATCGCTTAGATCCCGCATGGCACCGCTGCCTGCTACCGAGACCCTTTGCGTTCTACTCGGTTTTGATGCCCCTCCGCTGCTTCCTCCACCACTGCCGACACCAACACCAACTTTGGTGTCACCTCCACCACTAGAGTACTCAGCAGTCCAACCCTCGGAGCTGTAGTAGGCTCCAAATCGCTGATAGAAGGTAGTCAACACACGCAGGGATACCACCGACTAAAAGGGAGAAAACTAATGTTTGAATGAAAATTGCTGAAAGTAGTTAAGCAGAGGTGAACTTGTAGTGACCTCTCGTCCGACAATGCGCATATTCTTGGCGATCTTGCGAATGAGACTGGTCATTGAAAAAGGTTGAATGTGCTCGACTAACGCAACGAGAAAGTCGCTAACTACGTCTCGTTGGTTGTTGGTTATCGAACGACAGGTGGCTAGGCGGTAGGCAGTGTGGAGCGTGGATTCAAGTAGACCTGCGGTAACTTCGTTCACAGCAAGGAAGTGGGCGTAGCGAGTGAGCAGGGGCAGGACAGAACCGCAGATGTATCGATTCAATGCCAGAGTCATGTCACTCGCGGTGACACCGCGTTGTGCCTAAAAAAAGAGCGGGGTGGCTCAATATCTACCATCGCTCAAGGGTCATTTAAGAGCCGGAAGTTGGCACTCCATTACCAGAAGTGAGGACTAGACACGACTTACAGAATCAAGTAGCGTGACTGCACGCATATCAGGAAGGAAAGCATTTTCGAGGAGACGGACGAAGGTGTCCGAATCAGTGAGGCCATAAACGCGTTCCATAAAGAGCACAACGGCCGCTTTATGCTCAGGTAGGAGACCAGGAGGCATTGGTGATCTGTCTACCCACTGCTCAAGGCCTTCGGCATTCATCTATGGACAAGGATTGCGGAGATATGAGGTCTGGCCAGTAGGTATAAACATATAAACTAAGATTCCTAGAGAAAAAATACTACATTAGCACACTACGCGATTAAAAAGGCATCTTCGTGTTGGTGAGCTGTGAGCCCGTTTTCACCACTAACCTGCATTTCCAATTTCGGTGGGGGAAGGATGAATCGCAACGAGAGCACTCCCTCCAAATCTTGCATCGAGACAAGGGATTGCAAAATTGCTCGACCTCTCACCGACTCACTTTTGGACGCGTCCAGTTCGGGAGCACAACGACCCAAAAGATCCACCAAAACTGCGTAGAAGGTGAGTATTGCGGCGCCCAAATCAACATAGTCTTCATCTTCCTCCGGCTGCAAGTAACAAAAAAATCATCACCGTTGACTTTTTTATGATTGAATAGCGACTTTTACTTGTGCTGGCTTAGTCAACCCACCGGAAGGCTACTGAAGTTGTAGGGCAATGGGGCGAAGAGATTGCAGTCTTCGTAGTCCATTAACACCGTTCGCCATCCCATGTCTTCATCCTCGGGATTTAAACCCTGGGCCTCGGCGTCCATAGCCATTTTGACCAACTTGATCTGGGCAGACATCACTATGCCCTCCTTAATTCCTGGATCACAAAGTGGATTAACATTTCAGGAGATCAAAATTCTCCTTTCTAGTGGGACAAAGAATGAAAATCCAAAATGACTCGACTGGAGCTTCAACCTAGTTTTATAGTCGAACTTCCACTCCAAAATCAAATTCATCGGGATGAAGAATTAACTTTCCCTCTTATTAGCCCCATCTTCTTTTACCTTTTAGGAGACCACCACCGGTTGACGATGAAGCAGCATTTGCGTTTGATGCTGTAGTGGAGTGCGCATCATCAACGCCACCGGTAGTGCTACCGGCGCTGTTGACACCGCCTCCTGGACCGCCCCCTGCGCCACCACCACCAGCGGCGTCAGGGCTACCAGGTGGAGCGAGCTGATCCATGCCCTCGCTACCACCACCACCACTGCCGACGACTACAGACTGACCGATAGATTGCGAGTTGAGGCGTTGTCGGCGACTCGATACCGACTTGGTACCGCCACGAAGAGCTGGGCCAAGGCACTCGGGGCGGCGGATGAGGAGACGGACTACGAGATTTGCATTCTCTTCCACACTTTCACCTGGAAGGAGATTTAAAGACGAGCATTAGAAGGCAATTCTGGAAGCTTCTAATGTTATTGAGTTTAGAATCTTGAGAGAGGTCTACTTTAGCAGAATTTTTTAAATAGCTGACTGTGATGGAAATGTAGATTCGGTGGAAACTACGAGCACATAAGGCGATTAAAGGGTTCAAAAAAGATGTTTGAAAACCTAAAGACTTGAGCAATTCTGCTTCAGCAATCTCCATCAATCCTTTCCCCTAGACTCACCGTTAACCCACACAGTGAACCTCAAAAAGTCCAGGAAACGTTCCCCCTCCACGGGATCCCATCCAATATCCGGGTATCCCTTGGTTAATAGCTCTGCGTTTGACTGCACACCACAACGCGACAGATAAACTGCCACCTTCTCCAACTGTTTCTCACGAAGCGCCAATGCCAACTCATTGTTATCCATCAGAGAGGAATAAGCTACATCTAGGGGACAGATGCCTCGCAGACTGGGACGAGCTGAAGGGTCAAAAGACTGGGTAATATTGTTGATGACGTGAAGCGAGATTCCTGCGTGTGACTGGATACTCACCAAGTAGCATTGAAGAATTCTCCAACATGTAGCTGAGATGATCAAACATAGCCTTTTGGTTTTGCCATGAGGTGCGGCAGAAGTAACATAGGAAGCGGCAGCACTGAACCACCATCTCGGTGGGACCGACAGGGACATTTCGGCCAAGATTGGAACCTGAAGAAACAATAATCACCGTCGTTAGAGAACTGTAAGTCCACCGTGGGGATCAATTTAAATTTACATTGTTTACAACACTCAGCTTCCTTCTTTCAGCATTTTATCCACAGTGGCTTTTACTGTGGTAACCCATGTCATTCAAAAATCGAATCAACCACCGCTAGTAACTGAAGTACCACTTAGTGTTGCTTCCTCGCCCTCCTCTACCAATACGGGCAGTTCGGCGCCTCCCCCGGAACCTTGCCGACGACGCAGCGAGATTGCATCTGCGGCATTCAATTGCGGCGACAGTGAACCCTGGTGCTGCAGCTCCGAGGCCGTAGAAGCGGCAGCAGCAGCAGCGGTAGCAGCGACCGAGGGTGAGTCAAGGGAGGCCTTGGAGAGAGTATGCACCATCAACTGCATCACCGTCTCGTGCACTGCCAGCACCCGAATTAGATCAGGATGTTGAAAGAAGACGTTGTTGTTCATTATGTCCCTACAGATAGATGTGGATGGTGGGTAGGGATTAATCAACTGAAGCAATAGTGTGTGTTACCAGGTCACAGCGCATACCAAAGGCAATTCTTCAACAGTATCTCCTCATTTGCACCCACTTGGACACCAAGAAGGCAACGGATTCGTCCAAGAGAACGCAACAAGCGTGAAACATCTTCCTTCGACCGATTTCCGATCGCGTAGGTCCGCGTCAGTCCCAGTCGAAGCTGTTGCAAACAAAGAAAAGAAAGCGTTTTCAAAAATAACATTTTCTTTAGTGATGGTGTTTTTAGATGATCCACTTGCCTCATCAAGAGCCCCATACTGACGATAGAGGAGGTAAAACATCTGCCGAATCAGCTCTACATCCTCAATGATTGAGCTACTAGCCCAGTCGCTCACCGTCTCCAAAATTAATTGATGCAATTTTCCTATGAGAAAATTTTAATCAAATATTCGTGGTACTAAATAATGAAGTAACTAGAAATGCCGTGAACAGAAACTGACTTCCATGCTGTTTCGATTCCTCGGGCCCACCAAGGGCCAACTGTCTAGAAGCTCCACTTCCACCATCAACATTAGCAGTACTGGTGTCACTGGAACCAGAAACCAGTTTCCAGATAGCCTTCACAGCCGAAGGCGGACCTGAGGCCCCAGATTCTGGATCACCGACACCTTCAGGAAGAAGGAGAGTTGGAATATTCAAGAGTTCCGTCAGCTCGGATTGTAGCTGTTCCGAGCTAGAGGAGGCTAGGCTGGTATTGGTGGTCGAGGTCGTGGTATGTCGAGCGCTGTCCGTCGATGCTGAGGTGGTGAGGCTAGTGGCAGTGGCGTTGGGGGTGGTAACGTTTACTGTATTGGATGTCGGTGTGAGCTGTTGGAGACCTGCTGCAGCAGCTTCCTGAAGAAATTTGATGGCTCCCTCGTAGTCCCAGGTGTCTTCAATTCCGGGTTTGACTACGCCAAGATGGTTCATTAGTCGATGGTGGAATAGGCGCATGAGCTCCTACGGAAGGAACAGGAATGCGGTTAGTAAACCAAAATCTTTCCTCAAATTTAAAACAAAGTTCAACGCCAACCTTGATCTCTTCAGCACAGGGATTCCTGGAGTACCCATCGAGGGTCAAATCATCACTACTATCGCTCAAATCCAAAACTGTGATTGCCTCATTGTCCGAGGAGGCAGAGGCGCAGCTGGCTTCCTCAAGCAGCCCCGAAGGACCACCCGGTCCAGGCATGTGTAGAAGATTGCGAATTTGCACGTTCGGCGGACAGCGGAACTCGCGTGTCCGTGGTGCTGCCACTGCCGATGGCAGATTCGCCACTTTGATGGCCAGGTAGCGCTGCAACTGGTCCTATTAATTCAGTCGAGTGGCACGAAGAAGAACTTGTAGATTAGCTTAAGGCAGTCAGCTTTCCCTACTTTGAAATCATGGGGTCACTCACATTTTGAATTTCGCTGACTGCTGTGTTGGCAAAGTTGACGATGGATTCAATGCGATGACGTAGTTGGAGGTCACAGAGGTGATGGAACAGATGGCACACCTCCATTTTAACCGATTCAGGCAGAGGCAATTCCAGCAGACTACCGGTGATGGGTGTCACTAGGATGAGGAGATAAAAACAATCACTTGAATGGTTTGCTCATTATAAGGTCGTCTACAACACAGATGAAATGGAGCAATTTATCGGTAGAGTGATCTTCCTTGCGTCCTTAGCGGATTTCCGCTCATTTTGGTGTCTCATACCAAAATGGTGCGCAACTTACCAAGAAAAATTAGTGAGAAAGTATCAAAAAGCCTACATTACCTCTCCAACTGGGTGTATTTGGGAAGAGCTTTGGACTGAGGAGTCCAAGAACAGTTGCCAAATCCGCCGCGTCCAGTGAACCCATTACCAGTAGATGATTGAGGATCAAAAGAAGTGGTCTACAAATAATTTAAAGAAAAGTGCAATCACTGACAAAATTGTCTGAAGAAATTCATCAGTGGCGGTCCCTTCAACATAATGTCACCTGGAAATTGCAACCCTGCCTATAGTACAAGCTCGACAAGTTATAAAACAGATCAACGAAACTGGGTTCTCACAACAACGCGTGTTCAAAGTTGCCTCCAAATGGATCCCGAACATGTCCACCTGTGTTGGCCATATCAATCAATGCATCTAATGTCTGGCGTTTGAGAAGATCCAATGGGAAGGGCGGACAATCAGAGAGCTTGATAAGTCCGCCAGGACCTGCTGCGGCCATGGCAGCGTTCAATACGGTCTCCGGTTGAGCTTCTCCTCCTCCCGTCGGTATGGTGAAATTGCCCACGCCTGTTCCGTCAGCTCCGGGACTAACATGAAATAAACCACTCATAAATTTGACGTTAGTAGACAGGTTGCTTGAGGCATTAGCCTGCATGCACTTTCATGCCTTAAATCTCTCTTGATTTCGTTTTAGCACATTTCACAGATTCTGTATTTTTTTTCGCCAAATTTTGAATTTTGATCATAACTGCGCCCTCTATTGCTTGCACTAAGCAAAGGATAAAGGATGAGTGAGAAGAGGGTTGCGTAAAGGTGTGCGTAGGAGTGTTGGCACGTGATTTGCTAGCTACGCCGCATTAAAAGGCGATCCTAAAGCGAAGAGGTGGAGTAGGTAATGAAGCCATGCGTGGAAAGTTAATGTGATGGAAATGTGGCAGATCTTACGACGCTGTGGATAGCTTTATTCGCTCACTCCTGCGTTGTTTCAGCCTGGAATAGAAGGTTTTTTAAAATGATGTAAATAGAGGATATTCTGAAAAACATCGCACCAACTGAGCTTCTACCGAAGCCGAATATACACTCGTCCAGACAAAAATGCCCAAAACTGCCGGTCTACTTTGTCGTCACTGCTTACATTAGAAGGTATGGATCAGTAATGAGCTTCGGTCGAATACTGCGATGCTCCTTCACAGCGGGGATGTGGTCTGGGTCCCAGTCGTAGACGATCTTGAGAACGTGCGCGGGTGACTTTGTGACCTCAAGGTCATCCTTCTCCAAGGGGACAATGAACTCCCTTCCAGTGACCTGTTTCAGTTTCATTGGACTCTCCAAATGCATAGACAGTAGGAGTTTAACAAACTCCGAACGCAGTGAACCATGAACGTCTGCAAAGAAATGTGGGAAAAAACAATGATATTTAAATGGGAACAAAGTAGGTTGGCAATGGCAAAAGCCGGTACACTTACATTTAGACTGAATCACATAGAGGAATTGGTACTGATCGACATGGCTTGTCAGCTTTTGGGCGACATTGTGGTTCCCGTGACAACAGAGAGCGCAGTAGAGAGCCAGGGTTTTTGCATGGAATCTGAAAAAAGTAGCAACAAAAGATATCATCGTTGAAGAAGAATGCTTTTGTAAGACGGGGTCATTGCGTCACTTTTGGAATGGACCAATTCACTTAAAATCAGTAAATAGTTAAAGAATGAGCAAAGCCCCTTTTTTCATGAAAAAAAACTGTAGAAAGATAATAAGTGGTCTTGAAAAAGATGAAGTTACACCAAGGTTAATTTAACTTTTCCAAGAAAAAGCGCTCCACTAAAAGGCTTACTTTAGCAGGTCTGGCATTTCCTCCAACTCAAGAATGGAGAAGCAGCGATTCGCCTCGGGTAGTTGAATGACGAGGCGAGGTGCACTATTCTCTAACAGCATGCTCCAGCCCCGTTGGTCGCTCATCTTCATGCTCTGAATTTTCGATTGTTCAACCGGTACTGGCGCCCAGTGGACACGCTGTAGGTTTCGACAGTGAGACATTATACAATGAAATTGTAGGTCAGTCCGTTTAAAAACGCATCAAAAATGATAACGGATAACCCCTTGGCAGTAGAGATAACCTCACCTCAATCGCCTGGACATTAAGTCGATGTGGCATCGGCATGTTGGCGCGCCGTGGTGGACGCAGCATGCCTGCAGTTAGTGGCAGGTGGTAACGCGACCGACGGCCCAATTCAAATTGGACACAGTCACGAGCCGTTGGACGAACGAAGACGGCGGCAAAGAGGTGGGTCGAAGGCTCAACCTATTTAGACAATTGTACCACCATAAACAGAGCCCATAGAGTAAGTTGCTGTACTCAGAGATTCTAAGTGTCTTTCTCTAATTCTGGATTAGTTTTAAACTGGTCAATTAGAGAGTGGTAGTGCTTACTGAAGTAAACAATCAGTAGTGATGAGATCGAAAGATTAATGGAAAAGTACAATAAAAAGGGAAGGAAACTAAGATAAGGCCAAATGGAAAAATCCAAGTCGTAAATCCTACTGCCTCGGTTACATTTATCGCTCATTTGAGGATGGACTGACTTACCTGGAATCTAATGAGTGTGTCGCGATCGTTGAGCCGAAAACCAAGAGTGCCGGAGGCGGTATCCACCCAGCAGGTCACTGCCAAGCCCTGACTCACCCGCTTCCCGATGTCTTCAGGTGTGGAAATCTTCTGAATCAAGTCGCCCACGTTTACGAGGAAGGAGGAGCGCTCTGCGACTGCCGACTGGGAGCAGGAAGAGGCATCGAAGGAGGATCAAAAAATCAAGGTCAACTAGGGGTTTGCTAATGAATTGCGATTGGGGAAAGTCCAGCGATTTTCGACTGTAAGGCGTCTGCGCTAGAGCACCCGGTTGATAAGATGGCAGTTTGCGAGTAAATTAAGACTATTCAGTGATAGCACATTGGTTAAAATGCATCTCAATTAACACTAGAACCCACCTTTAGCGTTAGGTCGTCATGTAGCAAACACACAGCGACTTGTCGCACCTCCGCAAAGTTCAAGAATTTATCCGTCTCTGTTGTACTCCCCAAAGTCGACGTTTTCTCCGAAGCACTTGATTCGCTCGCAACACTTGTCGCGTCCCCTTCCACCGTCGACTTAGCAATCGGGGCGGGGGTGGTAGCGAGTTGAGTGACGTTGAAATCGGGATCCACGGGGAAGGGATTACCACCACTTATGGAAGCGGGTTTGGAGATTTTGAAACAACTGCCCACCCATCCGACATTTACTAGACAGGGATTCTGGCCTGGGGGAATTAGGACAGTGTAGGCAAACTCGTCCATAAAATCAGCGATTGCGTTGTCCAAAGCGGATTGCTCAGGCTGTGGGCGGTAAAGCATAATAAGGCAATTATGGGAAACTAGTAGAATGCGTTTTACAGAACTAAAGTATCGAAAGAAGCATGTTGCACAAGTGGAACTTAGCGATGAAAAAAGAATTCATTTGCAAATAAACAAACCCAATGGTTCCTAATGAATTCTCTGAAGTATTTAACACATTAATAAAGGAAAACAGTTGCGACTTTAAAACATTCGGCTGATTTTTCTAAAAGATTGCCTTTATGTTGCCAAAACGGTCAAAATACCACTTGCACTGCCCTATAAATACGTTTTTTTAATCACCTTTCAACAGCTCTATTAAATCCGTTTTTAATTGGTGGATAATTCATGGTCCCTGAATCTGATTGGTCCAATTAAAATAAGTTGCGAATTCTCGAAAAAATGCGCCAAAAACCCTCAAAAACAGGAAACAAAGTAAATTTCTTACGAGAAGAAGTTCAAATTCCTCTCCCGCAGGTCCAGGAGATCCTTCATGGGCCCCTGTAGAGGTTTGACTGGCGGTTGCAGGGTCCCCTTTCTTACCTCCAACTATGCCTGAAGTGCTAGCACTGCCACTTACTAGACTCACACCGCCTGCACCTGCTAAACACCCAAACATAAACAGATTCATACCAACTCAGCAGGTTGTCAAAATATATGCACGAGCTCTCCGATCTAGTGAGTACTGTTTGACATGTCGAATATTTGAGGCTCTGGTGATACAAAAACATTGACACTAATGATTTTACTACCGAAGGAACCAATTAATGCGTTGCTCAAAAAACCAAGGGCATTTAAGCATCTGTAGCTTTAAAAGTTCCGAAATTTACTTTACTATCAAAGGTTAACTGATACTAAACACGTGCTGCATATTTGCGACACCGTACTCGATTTGAAAAGTTGCGGCGCTACATTTGGGTGTCGCTGGTGTCTATCTTATGAAGATAAGCATTCAAGTCCTACATTTCCTTTGAGAAGGAGATTTTTAAAGCCTAATCAGTAGCTCACCCGAATACCCGCTTGTGACATCGGGAGAGACGTCTCGTGGACGCGTTTTCCTGAAAACGTTCGCCAGACGAGCTCTCTTGCCGCGTCTGTCACGAACTTCCAACCCCGCAGCTCCAATTTCCTAAAAGTACGTGTAATAACACGTAACTTATTGAACTTTGGCTGGACTCCAGATGAAGAACAGGAGTTATGGGAGCTGACAAATATCGCCGTTAATTAATATAGATTAAAGTAACGGTAATTTTAGTTGTGAATGCATCGGTATAAACAGTTTGTCATGAGGACTTAATTACGTTCCACAGCTAAAAGTACGGCCCAAAAAATACCAAGGCTACGGCCGACCTTGCACAAATAATATAAATATGTATTTCGTTAATCTAATTTCCCTAGAATTTGAACAATACTCCCAAAATCCAGCGACACATTACCAACCATTCTCCGTTAATGGAAAAGACTACTCATATAACCTTTAAGTAGCATAGTGAAACATCCAACCTGCGTCATGAGATCGATATTGGCCGGTCCTCCCATGCCAATCCCGTGATGATGATAGTCCTCCGGTTCAAGTTGCTTGCGTAGATGATCCAAATTCGCTCTTCGATCTGCCAGTGACCTATACGACAAAAAGTTCTACTTAAGCTTTAATCAGTAAAAAGACACAATTAATCAGTAGAAAGACACAAGTGCGCCCTCCTGCATGACATGGACACGCAAATTGACGAATCGATGGAATTGGATGCGGTTATGTGACCAAACTTTTAGTGTCTAGGGCATGCCTTCATGCAACAGAGCATGCTGACTCACCGTGTGGTGAAATGCGACTTGCATTGGATGCCCAAGCTCAGTCGCAAGTACTCCATCTGGTGCAGCCCAGTTGGACTTGGCGATTTAGCCAAGATATTTATCACGGGGGGACTATTTTTAATGCAAAGCTTGAAATTAGATTTATGTTCCACTTCGAACCTTTTACCCCTACTTATCCCTACCAATGATCGACCATTCCTGCAGCTTATTCGATCAAAGTTTTTCTGTACGTGATTGAGCAGGCGATCTCCTCAAGGTAGTAAATTTACTTCTACGTCCTGACATTTCCACACCTTCAATGCCCACTTCATCTGTTGATTTTATCTGAACAGAATATCCGTGCTCCCTTGTCTCATACATACTAGCATCGGTCAAGTATCTTTTGATGGGTGTAAAGCTACAGTAATACGATAGTGGTTTATCCCTCGGTTCTGGTGAGGCGCCACTTTTGGACTTTGAATTAGCCCCCTTGTACCTCGCTGGGTGGGGCTGGCCTTTTGGGCCATGCCAATAGCCCAGACACCTTCTCCGTCCTGAATATATGTATTCTGCCCGAGTATTGTGGCTTCTTTCGTCTTCAGGGAGTATCGGGACGCTACACTACCACATTTAATGCCCCACGGATCTAGCCTGGCGGGTAGCATTAACAGGCAGGTAAGTACCATTGGACGTGTCCTCACTTAAAACAAACAGACGGGAAGGGGCGGGACGATAGAAATGACCCTAGGCACGAAGTACCCAATACGGGTAAACTACCTCTGTTGAAACTTAAAACTGAAAATGTGCACTATTTGTAGTTTAACCAGTTTACGGGAATGCAAACTTGGGGGTAAGGTAAATAAAATCGCATGCTTCTAGTATATACTACTTAAATAAAAAAAATAATGTACGGTTTTTCTTCCCTTTCCTGTCATTAATTGAGACATCGTTATGAAACAAAGATAGCAAGCCGATTTCGAATCGACCAAACTACAAATAGTTGGTGAAATGGTGCTATTCAGTGAGCAGCCAGTGTTTCTTCAACTTTTCTTGCAGTACTGGTGCCGCATCGAGCAGTCTTGAGCGGCCGTGAGTTAGCAAATGAAGTTAAATGGTAAAACTCACTATGCGCCGGAAACCTTGGTTTCCAGCCGGCTATGATTCGGCTTGAGATCTCTGAACAAGGAAGCATCCACCTTGCTGTACCACATTGGGACTGGATGGCTCATATTTCTGGAGGTAGGGTTAGAAAAAAGTCGAATTAGCTCTACGTACTATCAGTTCTCCCCACTGAACTCAAGGAAAACTCACACAGCGAATGGGCTGTAGCCTTCCTGCAGACCACAGATGGTAAAGTATTTGAGGGTTTGAACAACGTTGCCAAAGTTTATGCGAACCTGTTGTCCTGACCCCAGTGTGAAAGCTGGCACGAATCCTTTACAACATACAAGAAATAGTGCCAATTTAAATACAGTCAGTGGCAACTTTAAATGCAGAAAATATGCGGAGGATTGCTGTTCATGTCGCTCAAATTCTCGTTGATAAGTATTTGTAGCAAGAAAATAACTCGTTTCATTATTACACAAAAGCTTTTTTAAGATAGATAAAGAAAAGGAATGCTGCTTCTAAGAGGTATGCTAAACACCATTAGAAGTGAACTTGACCTGTACAATTGCTAGCACTTGACCTTATGCTTATATGTAAATAAAACAGGTATCAGGCTTACATACTGAATTTTTGCGTCTGTTGAGGAATGCCAAAAATGGTATTGGACACATAATAAACACCATGCATTGAAGTGATACACTAAATCTGCGTTCGTTTAAGAAAATTTCGCAGCAAAAAATATCATTTTTAAGACCAGATATCCAGAAGTAAAGTATACCCTTTCTAAACGAGCTAGTTCTACGGAGCGATTCCATTGCAGGAAATACCTCTTTTTGGATATTACCAAGCAGAAAATTAACCACCTTCTTTCCAAGACCTATGTCCTCCTCAGGAATGGAAAATGAATGCATTGCCAATCCAGATGAGAGCAACTTTTTATCCTATCTATGCACATGTTCCCCTTCTGAATAAAAAGATGTTTTGTTCAAAACATTCTCTTGCTCACCGTGATTGACTTTTATATCCTTGAATGCAATCTCCTGACCCATCGGATCCATCATAATCTCACCATTCAGTGAGAACGCTGAAAGAGAGTAAAAAGGGAGTCATAAAAATAGTCCATTCTGAAAGTTGGTATGGGGAGAAGGAACATCGAAACCCACTTATCGACCGCTCGTTGAGGTTCAGCATACACCCGATGACATCACCGGGTTCACAGCGCTTCCCATAAGGTCGGCCATCGCGATGGTACTTGCGAGCCTGAAGCAACGACCAGAGAAGCATCAAAAGTCGAGAAATAAACCAATCTTCAACCTTATCCAAAGGAGTGTTTAGTGCACTCCGATTTATAAGAAGGAAACCGCCTATCAGTTTGAGCTGGGGAACGGATGTAAGTTAACAAGATCGAGCATCGTTACTCAGCAGAATCTCCGTAGTCTCATTGAAACTTCCAAACTGGGATAAAAATGCACCCACTATGACTATCACAAAGTCAGTGAAAGGAAGCTGGAAAGCTACCTGTTCAGGAGCGAATGAATAGGAGGAGCCACTCATGCCAGTTGTGGTGGCGGCAGGAGCATTTTTGGTAGCCCAACCGACACGCACCATGCCATAGGTGAGGAGTTCCACCTCGTAGTACCTAAGTAATTAGAGTGCGGAAGAACACTCAACTGGCAGTTCAAGTACTCGATCGAGGCACTACCAGTTGATGCACATGGAAACTCACCATTTGCCTCTAGTGACAGCTTTAGAGGAGGCCGCGCGATAATTCATGGTCGCCTCTTCCAACACGTCCAGTGGATTCTCTCGAGCTTGAAAATAAGGATACAATAGCATTAATGGACCAGTTTAAAAGGGGAAAAATGTACAGAAAGTTATTATGCGGCTGGAGAAATACCAAGTCAAATATTTACAAGTAAACCCTCAGAAGCGTCCAAGGGAAGTCGCTCTGAGGAGTCTTATTCACTCCTATGCAACCACAAGACTTCACACCAAAAAACTTAGCCAAGTGATGTCTATCACTTACGCATGGTATTAGCAGTTACACGGCAACACACCGCCTACTTACTTGACCTAGAACAGGCCTCAACACATTGATGAACTTATCATGAGAAGCAAACATGGGGGTAATAGTGAAGATGCAGCGGACATACTTTGTTCGGACTCGCCGGAGACGGGTTCAATAACGTAGCCGTAGGCTAGCAAGGTCTTGACAGCATCGGTAGCGGATTCCCTGTTCATCTTCTTGATGTTTGCATTCACCTCCGAGTAGGGGACCAAGTGAGGACTGCGTTTTTGAGTATTGTCCTGCCAATCACACAGTCAAAATCGGTGCAAATTTGGCAGAGATTTGGTTTGCTCAATGAATATGGAAGAAAAATTAAAGTGATCTGGAAGTTCCTGCCAAGTTTCCTCTTTGCGTCTTATTTCCTAGTCTTCTAGGAACATTTACAGTCCACGCATTTTCTCCTGATTGGCCATTATTGCGTGGAGGTACGCTCTATGCGTGTCGATACGCCTTTTTACCTCAAGCTGATTCGAAAGAGTCTGGGTCCCCGTCTAGGACAGCACTTTAAGGAGCGAATCCCAAACTCCATGTCCAAATCCTGAACTTCAAGCGTACTCCGACCTACGGCATTGAGACCCTATCCGATGCCTCCTACCTACCGGATTTTTCATGAAGAGCGCAACCTTTATGAGCTCACAAACTACTAGTTCATAACAATTCTCTAGCGGAATGCATTCGACTCGAGCAACTGAGACTGAAATATGCTGTCAAGTGAGAGATTTGGTTTAAAATGGACAGTTAAAAGATAGCGCTGATGTGTGTTGAACTAGAACTAATCACCCTACCTCAGTAGATCCATAAGTCCACCCCTGATGAATGCGATCCTTCGCCCAAATATTGTGCGTGTTCTCCGCCAACTCATCGACGAGGGTCTCCAAACGGGACGAGAGACGAATGGCCGAGAGATCCAAGGGCTGTGGTTTGTAGCCATTTGATTGGGTATACCTGGCAGCATAAAAAAGTGGGGTTAGACATTGCGACTCCTTCAAAATTTTACCGAGCCACCGCAGCGAGCTACACTGAAGAACGCACGAACTTCTACGGTAGCCCGATATTGTGCGTGGTAAACATATTTACTTCCTCAGCATTTTGCTTCCAAATTTACTCTATGCAACTGCCTAGAAATTTGACAAATTTGAAAAAGGTGACACCCATAATACTTTCTTAGCTTGTTGTGAATGCTTGTAAGACCTTTTTAGGGCGAGTAGATCAGTACAATCATTGGTGCTACTTCTTGATTAAAGTAGTATACAGGGGGTAGGCATAAATGATTGGTTGATTTGATTGGGCTAAGTCGACACAGCAAAATTTGTCGAAAAAGCGTTTTTAAGATACTGCTAGTCACATTTTATTTGGTACTTTGGCTGCAGTTACAGACTAAATTTGCTGGTCGAAAATGTAAGGTGTCATTTTTCACATCTCATCTTCCAGCCATCCTCTTCAATTACAGGCGTTTCAAGAGTAATTCAGACGCTGCGTAGCACACTAATCGCGTCTGGTTCGAGGGAGTCGTCCATAGTCCCTCTATCTAATGCCTAGTTGAGTTCCATCAATACTTGTTCAATAACGCGCCACAACCTTCAGACGTTTATCTTCCATACAATACTTACTTGAAAGTAAGTAAGGGAACCTTTCATAATCGCTATCTTGTTCAAGGCGTGACTTTTTTCACTCATCGGAAGACAACAGTTGCCACACCCGAAACATCGCGTTGGCTTAGAAAAGGTTTTCTGCATTCTAGTATTGGAACTACTCAAGAATGCTCGGACTGTGAGGAAAGCAAGTATCGCTAATCTAACTAACTGCTAGTCACAACACCTACTCGCGCTCTCTCAAAGCGGAATGAGACGTGGTCGGTAGGTTCACTTTTACAAGAACTACCTGGTAATCAGTGACACAAAGCAAAGTGAAAGGAGGGAAGGAAGGAAGGAAGGAAGGAAGGAAGGAAGGAAGGAAGGAAGGAAGGAAGGAAGGAAGGAAGGAAGACGAAGGAGTCGCTTACGAAGCGCCTAGCTTGATCGTCCTCATGCGAGTGCCCTCGGGCAGACTCTCATAGCCGATGTTGTAGCGCAGAGCAAAGATGGTCTTCAAATTTTCCAGCGCCATTGTCACATTGTACTGCCGCTCTTGCTGCTGCAACTTATCGAATGCGCACAGGCAGGGATGCCGACGTCTCCCCTCATCGCGGCGCTAGAAGGCACGAAGACTAGGGGTACATTGCTGCCAAGTTGCAACCCATTTTTCGTTTGTTCGCAACCTCTTAAGCTGTATTCAGGTAGGATCGTGCCTTAGTTAATTTATTTCGGATCTTTCGTGTTTCGGACCTCATTTAAGTAGTGTTATTTAGGGCCTGGACCTCTATAATGAAAACCTTCCGCTCTTAGGAGAGAAATACGGCCTATTATCCCAATGCTTTAGAGCTAGCGTGAAGAATTGAATATGGAGACTAGGGGCGATACCTCCTGTTTGTCAGCCGTCAGCATAACCCAGAAATAAACAGAGACGTAACTGAGGCAGACTTTTCTGCAGGATTTTGGTAAATGGTGTGTTCAATCTCGAGAGCTTGGCATCAGTACGATTCAACGGGAAAAGAATCAAATGGAACAGAAGAAAAGCTAGGTTTTGAGTCAGACCAATATGAATAAGCCGTGGGTTTGATCACAAGTTTGTAATGAAAAGGATACGGTGCAAAAAAATGCATTTCAGTGTAGTTTACATGTGAGAAAATGCAACATAAGAGGTCCGTCAGGACCGACAAACTGAGGTCTCGCCAGTAAATTGAGGAAGCTATGAAGTAAATTTGTGCCTCCACCTTCATCTCAGTTCTACAAGTCGTTTCTCTTCACTTGGACACCGCTGTGTCGACGCTTGGTTAGCCTACGCATTCTGCAACCTTTCAGTCGCCCGTCTGTCCTGTTTACCTAGCCCTTCGCCATCAACTCCAATGGTCTCATTAATACCGTGGGGACATCAAAGAAGGCAGCTTGATTAGGACAGTGGTAGTCAGGGCATCAAATTTTTCGTCAGTTGACTCTACAAACCCAGATGAAGAGTACAGCACTTTCCGATTCCAGCTTATCTTCAACCAATAGGCGATCAGGATATGTGATGATGATTGAGCAAAACAAAATGGGCGATTTCTGGATCAACGAGCATAAAAAAGGGCGTCAAAAGCTTCCATTTCATTGTATGAAGTCAAAATTGCATTTTTAATTATGAAGTAAAAGGAAACTTACGCATTCTTTTTGGGAGTAACTTCTGCCCATTTTACTTTTTAAAGGAGGAAGGGACACATCTCAAACCACTTTTAGAAATTAATCTTATATCAGCCACCACTGCCCGAAAGAGGTCTATTCAAATCAAATCAACTTATAAACACTCTTCAGTGGATTTAAAAGGCGAGAATTACCTCACCGAACGCCCAGCCCTGCTCGATCTTCCGCATCGACCATAATTCGTGCAAATTTTCCGCCAGCTTGTCTCGGATGCGTTCCACAACGTTGGGAAGGTGTATCTGGGATGGAAGATAATGAAATGAGGTACAATGGATCATACTACCTTCATTGCAATGAAGTATTCAGTTTAACAAAGTTGTTGTTGTGGCTTCAAAGTAGTTCGACCTATCCGCTTCTACCACAAAATTTGCGGATTTTCTTACCCTTGTACGCTAATGAAACATTTACTAGAATTGTAGAAGTCGGGGACAGGGGAGTACTTCATTTCAGCACCTACCTTATCAGTGCTGATAGGCACTGGCACGAAGACATCTTGTGAGGGCAGTGGAGATGCCAACGGTCCCGAGAATATCGACTTATCCAACCGACCGAAGGAGAAGACGGGTTCAAGTCGCAACCTTTGTGAGGGCTGCAACGCATCTATAATCGGCGCATACCCGGCTGGAGGTCCATGTTTCAACTTCCCATGAGTACCACCCAAAACGAATCGGGCGCTGGCCCGAGCTGTCATACTGACGCAGGGGAAGAAGAGACCCGTCGTATTGAAGTCCTTGAAGGTGGAAAGACGGCTGTTTTCAGCAGTGAAGGAAAGATTTAAAGTGCTGAGTTGCTTAGGGTTGGCAAATGATTGAGCCTCAAAGTATCTGATTGACGCATCGTCTACCGTCGCTACTGCCAGTCGTGAGTTAAATTTTATTTTTATTTATTTTTTGTCACCAGTTTGGCGTCGTACTTGTTGCCGAGTTAGGGACAGAGGTGTGATCACGGCATGACCTAAAATGTAATGATGTTTCTTATGCAAGGTGCGAGAACACGCAAACAGATGTGAGAAACGTTGCATAACCGAATATTATTTTGTGCTTTTCATTGTTATGCGTGAAACCGAGGTGGAAATAGCGTACAGAGGCATTGCAGACAGACATTAAACCTTTAAAATGCAGACATCAAGAGGTGACCGTATGAGGATAGCTAGGATGTCAAAACAGGTGTAGGTCTGTCATTCAACAAGCGCATCTTTGCCCCTCTACCTCACCTGGAAGTAGCCCTTCACCAAATTCCCATTCAGATTGAATTGAATAACCGGTCCGGTGAGATCGAGGAGGCAACCAATAACATCGCCCCGTTTCAAATTTGCGCTTCCATTGGAGGATGTGGTCGAAACGGCAGGGGGAGAGGCACCAGTGCGCCGATTTAGACCTTTGCCTCCCGTTCCGGGTGGGAAAAGTGCCTGTTTCGCCTTTCCACCCGTCCAGAGGTTCTGCCCATCGAATGCGAAAGAGTAGAAATCGTCACCGAGGGAGATGCCTCCCCAACCAGGTCCACCGACGGGATGTGGTGTGTAGCCGTCCGTGTTGCCCCAACCGATGCGAATGCCGGGGGGTTGGTGGGTGACATTCTCGAGAGCATCGATGAACACCTCGAAGTACCATTTGGTGTACATCGATCCACCCTGGGAGGAAAGCGATTGTACAAGCATGAAATAATCGGTGCTGATGTCATTGGGTCGTCAGTTTAATTTGGATTTCATTTCTTAAAGAAATAAATTAGACCCCTCAAAGAACTAAAAGATGTCAGAGGGTTTTATTGAATGTGCCACCACTCACCGGTTTAATTCCAACAAAGATGTTGGGTCGCATGGAGCCGGATTGAGCCACCAGTTTGGTTTGTAGGAGGAGGTCGCGCTCGGGCAGAAGACTCTCGTAGATGAGGTCCTGATTTAGACGCACAGCTCCACCCTGCCGGCCTATGCAGATGGAGTAGAGCACCTCGAGAACCTTAAAAAATACAATATGTGGGCATTAGTTAGCAAAATTTAGGGAATTTTCGAACAAAGTCACTTAATTATTTCTCCAAAACCGATTCAAGAAAGGGTAAGTCTAGCTATAAGTTTTCACAACAACGGGAGTAGAAAGTGGTCTATGGAAGTCAGTCGATCCACTCACCCGAGGGTCACGACCCTGCTTATCCAGCAGTCCGATTAGTGTATGGATATGCTGAGCCGTGATGACATTCAACGCCTCGTCCGAGTCTGTCAACACACAATGCAGTGCATCAAGGACGCCCTCTGCGAAGCTCTGCTGCAACTCAAGACGATTAAAGAGCCAGTCAAGTCGTGCGGGTGCAGCAAATTGGGCGCAGTTCTCGCGGTTTCCACGGATCAACGCGGCCAACAGAAGATAGAGGTAGTTGCCAAGGTCACTGAATCGACTGCCGCGCTCCTCGCCGACGGCAAGGGCGAAATCTCGACGACTCCGAAAGGTGCCGGTGAACTTATCGATGGTCTCTAACACCAGGCTAATCATGCCCTCCTCCTATTGATGTTAAAGGGTTAAAGAATGACAGAAGGTTTCCGGATGCGTGCATTGCCAGCTAAACCAAAAACTGCAGTAAACACCGGACTCTTTAGAGAAGGATGACGCTTTGAAGCCCTACTGTCTAGCGCTTCTCCACCCGTTAGCCCTTCAGTCACCTAATCGGTAGGCTGAAGGGCGGGTCTATGGCTGCTGGCTGCTGTTGGTTTTAAAACCAACTCACCTGAAAGAGGTCCTGTCTATTTGCCAGGGCTGCCAGTTTGGACTGTCTGGCCTCATGCTCCTCATGAGTCTCAGGCTGAGCGAAAAACTCAATTAGATCTTCCAGACACTGATTCACCTCGTCCAAATTCAAGGGCACGTCCCCCGGCCCTGTTGCAGGAGATGATGCCGCACCCGCTGCACCTCCACCACCGCCACCAAGCCCATCTGAACTGGCGAGAGCATCGAGGCTGCGATTAAAGGCGGAGAAGACAGCAGTTGAGCGACGGATAGCAGCAGCAGAGAGGGACTCCTCCTCTTGCGCCCGTACTAAACTGAAGACATCATCCATGTGACCCTCGGCCAGCAGGACAGCTTTTTTCTCCTCCACCTTGCCCACACCACGTTTCTTCGTCTCGTAGGACTCGTAGGATAACCACCAGCCCAGTGCAGCGTGCTGAAGGTAGATCAGGGTCTCGCCCAAACATACGTCTGGCTCGCCCATGCCCTCGTGCTCGCGGTCGATTTCCACCTTCTTCTTGTCATCCTGTCACAACGCAACGGATTGAAAGAGTCGCTAGGAAAGGGAAGGCCGATCACTGCAAACAGTCCAATTCACCTTAAAAATGCCTAAATCTTCCAAATATCCACTCTCTCATCCTCCATGTCTGCTCGCCCAACCAAAGGGGAGATATTGGGCTGGAGAGAACTACTACAGTTTACCCAGAGTTAGAAGTCGTAGGCAGATATTCCTTTTAATGGTGGTGGGCAATTGACCACAATAGAAACGATATATGCTTGTACCAGCGTGCAACAGGCATACCCACCTTTGTCTGTTTGATGTAGAAAACCGTGGCAGCATCATCTGATTCGGAGGGCGAAAGCAACACCACATCGATTTGGCCAGGCGCGGAGGGATTCCCACCCGCGCCCGAGCGCGTGATACCCAAATAGCGGCCGGTAGTGACGTGGCGCAAACGTACCGCGTCTTCCCACGAGAAGAAGCCGGCACACCACTTGATTTTTGTGTGTTCAATCTGCCACAACGATGAGGCGTGGCCCGAAACCGAGCCTAGTTGGTACATCACCGATTGATGGTAACTGAAATGGTATTTCAGTAGGTAGTGTTAAATCACCCATTGGGTAATTTATGCCAAGCACTCGAAACAGAATCATTTCTGCTGTGTATGCATATTTTACAAAGCCCAATCATCTAATGTGGCATGATTTGGCCCTACTTTTGATGAGGTAGCGATATGCTCGTGCACATTAGCGACTGATCGTAGCTGAAATGACATTTACGGCATGCGGTCTGCCCATCAATCCGCTGGTTTTCGTTCTAAAGTTTATAATACGATCTTTTTCTATTTTCATGGCGATGCTATGAAGATGCCACTTTTTAGCCAACGGTCTTCCATTCCCCTCTGTTCGTTAATGATGAAGTCATGTCAGCTCATTATTCCTATGACTTATTCAGTAGTGGATGTGTTGACAAGTCTATCCTAAGAGGCACGGCTCCACTTCACATTCACTTGACACAACATCAAAAAATCATCAAGCAAGGTCTCTGATGATTTGCAGAGATCCATAACTTAAGGGAAGCTGGAGCTTCATCAACCTCTGACCATTATCGCAACCTCGGGTTCTGTACCTCCATTAATAATGGAACGCGGCTGGATTTAGTCAGCTTACTCTAATTTTCTGTTCAAAAGTACAATCAAATTTTGACTCAGATTTTGGCCTTACTTGTTCCATGTCTTTATTAGCTAGAAACTCCCGATGGAGTGGTGACAACTAGGCGTATCAGTCAGCGGCTAGTACTCACTCGGAAGACGAGGCGGCCTCATTGGAGATAATTTGGCCTTCCTCGGTATCTCCAGCAGCCTGGATTGTCAGGCACTCATCACCGTGAAAGAGGCGAACCACGTCGCCACCGAAAGCCATGTCTGCAAAGTAAGAAGGGAAAAGGGAATTGTAGCATTACTGCGTTAGAGACGGTCGCAACACTTCCTGAGAAGCATACCCTTATGGTTTACTTCTTGATAATTTTTCCAACTTTTTGGCCACCGAAGTTGACACATATACCCATAATTCATCATCAATTTTAAAATGATGTCTTTGTTTTGGTTACGTGGGTACCTAAACCTCCACCTTTGTACTTCCACCAGGTGGCAAGGCCTCCGGGTCATGCCAGTATCCACTCCCCAAACCTTCTGTACGGCGTCAATACATATTCTGGCCTAGTATTATAGCGTACCGTGTCTTCAGAGAAGTCTCGGGGCACCGTTTTGTGGCAGCGGAAAGAGAATTCAGTCCCAAAGGACAACTATCCTGACTTCTACTACCGAGCGCCAAACCTTAACGTGGCGGAAGAAGGGCACCTGATGCGAATGAAACAAATCTGTGATAACCCATAAGAGAAGGGCTGGAAATGACGTCTGTCTTCGGCAACTGTCCTAGTTCCGTGTTCTGTAGAAACGCTATCAACAAGTGATGCGACACTAGCCGTGAACCATCTGGGAGAGTTCGCTACGGTATCTGCATGATGCTAAATAAGTGAATACACGATACCTCCTCCACCTCTCTACTAGCTGAATGGGATCCAGATAGACAGTGCTGAGGCAAAACAAAGTGATAAGAAAAAATAGACGCGAAACAAACCTACTTTGAACCCCGTCCCTTATTAAATGACTCTGCTCTTAAGTCAGTGTTCTTACGCCTTGGGATGGGCGTACGAGATAGCCAGCACATTATCCCTTCCCCCAACACAGCTCCCAAACAGGACGAAACTCCAGATCCAGTAGAACCGCCAAGAGGGATCAGTGGCGTGACAGTCAGTTAGTGTCTTGATTGTGCGCAAATTCGATGACTGACACAGTAGGCTTGAGGGCGTATTACTCACAGCACCGACTACGCTATGATGACCGACAAGGGGGGCTGACCAAAGGTAGCGTCGGAGACGACGCTCAAAAGAAGAGAGGGGGTATGCCATACCTAAATTCTTTGTTTAATTCTTTTTTGGGTAACGCGAAGGGCACTTAGGGCCGCGTCATTGTAACTCCGCTGGGTGGTACAACCTCCTGGCCATGCTAACCGTGCCCCCAGCCCTTCTGTGCATCAGGAACACATTTTCGTCCTAGTGTTACATCTTCTTTCGACTTCAGAGAAGTCTCGAGGTGCTTCATTCCCATCACTAAATTTCACCACGGTTAAGTTTTTATGGCATTAAACTAAATCAGGCTTTGGTAGCACCTTTTCGCGTTTTACAATCAGACAAAACCCAAAGATTTTGGAGTCTTATTGACAGTCTCAGTTGGACAAAACTGCTGAGTATGGATATTTACATTTCAAAGTGCTAGCAGAAGTCCCAAGGATATGTGATATGTGACTTAAGAGATTGTCGGAGAAGTAACCAGGGCCAACAAAACTCACGTAGTGATTTCTGTCGAACAGCGCCACTAGACACGGGAATCACGGTCCACAGTGTCTGTTGAAAACTGGCAATCACTCCGGACGATGAGAAAGAATCGCCATAAACGTGCTGAAAAAGGTAAAAATAATGCTTTTTAATGAAAAATTAGCTGATTCGACTGTCCGATGCAAGAGGCACTATTACTGTGGTGGGAATTCAAAGCAGTATATGCATATCTATAACCAATCGGTTGTTTGAATCTTCCATCAGAATGAATTTTCCCGAGCACATTTTCCAGAGCAAAATGAAAATTACATTTTAAAGTGAGGTTCGAAAGTTGACCGTTTTATAAATCCAGAGTTGGGATCACTGCTTCATTTGGCCATGAGGGTTTGTGGTAGCTACTGCGGTGCGGCACGTCAGTGTACTTCGGTGCATAAAGTACAAGAATAGAAACTAGCGGTATCCACATCTGCTGTATACAAATATTTTGTCAACTTCATTTTCTGTCTTGTTTTTTTTCTAGACGCTCTAACGATATGGTAAGCACCTTACCCAAGTCTTTGTTTCCAATCAATCGAGACCTGTACGAGGAATGCACGATACAAAGTGGCTTTAATAGTCTCCTGTCCTCCAAAAGCCCTTTTTATCCAATAAATCATGGGCCAGTCCCAACCGCTTATTTTATGTAGCTTTCCAAAGCTCTTAATCGTGAACACAATCCTCAGTTATTCCAATTTCGGTGAGAGGTTTCCTTGACGCAAAGCGGTAGACGAATTCCCTTTGCATGCACATGGACACACGTCTTAATCAGATGCCTTGAGAGCTCTCCACAAAATCACTTCATCTCTCATGAGCTACCTTCCAACTTTGACAAAAATTTTCGCTCATAAGTTCAACCTAATTGTTGATTTGAGTTGTAAGTTGTAAATGACTTTACAGGCGGATTATGAAACCTGCCCACAGGCGCCAGATGGCAATCTTTTCCAACGCGCCTTATGAAACTTTTGTCGCCAGAAGTTAAGGAAAAAAACCAGCTCTGACAACGTCGCATTTCCGCCACCTATCGTCCAGCGCCAAGATGGGGTTATGCTCATCACGCGTGGAAATATCAATGGTCTATGCAGAGATGGAACGTCGGGTTGAGGATGATTGATTCAGTACCCATTTCGCATCCCAAAGAATGAAAAGAGGCCTTCCCACGACTAATTTTTGCACCATACAGTCCTTCGGTGCGTTGTAACAACGGACCTTTCCCCCGACTAATTTGCTAGTCATGGGTTTTTTCGTTCGCTTTCGAACTGTCTCGGGTAGACGCATCGTGGTAAATAACTCTTCTTCTTTAGCGAACAACTTTATCTACAGTCCATTGCGGGCAAGGGAAACACTGCCTTCTGGAGCCGAATCAGAAATGTGTCACCAAGTTAGCCTGTACCTCAAATCAATACATCTTGCTTTTTTCTGTTTATAATGTCGCCTAGCAGACCCTCCTTGTTTTGCCAAAAACACTACATAATTCACTGTCCCCGAGACCTCTGGTTTAACTGCCCCCCAATCGGAGCGAACTGATAACTTATTATCTTGATAACTCATTGTCCTCCTCGCCTTTTTCCTCTACTTGTGTACACACGCACAATCACGTAGCGACGGTCCCCAAAAGACACCCGCCTGGATGCACCAATTGACGCGCTCTCGGGCGTCAGCACAGGGCCATCGATTGGCCGCCTCGCCGTTCGCGCGTGCACGCATGCACGCAAGTATGCATAAGGTGATCGATAGGGCGGAGGGGAAAAAAATGGCCCCGCCGAAGGCGACCTGCATGCAGCGCCTTTGCAGACGGGTAACACAGTTGGGGGTTGGACATTTTTGAATCACAAATTTGAAAAAGGAGTTTTTGATGTTCAAATACAGATTAGTATCTTGGAAGATGGACACTATCAGCTGAAGCGTTGGCTTCGTAACTCAAAACAATTTGCTTAAGCTAATAACTAAGTTAACATCAATGTTTAGCATCCTATTTCGCTTGGCATCAGGCCGAACATTTTAGAGTCCCTAAAATTCTATTTGTGATGTAAGTTATTCCTCATTCAACTTTGTGGAGCAGCTTTGTGTTGCGCTGTCGGTGGAGGGCAAACGCGCATATGCCCCCATCGTGGAAAAAAGAGGCAGTTTGTAAGGATACAACGGATAAATATCTCGTTTTAGCAGGCGCCTTTACCTTTAAAAATGAGCCCGTGTGAATTAGCAGCAGTGCAACTTGACGTTGAGCAAATAATGCACCAAAGATGTCGAAAACTTAGGGGGTTCGGGGCCTGCCTGATTCGCTTCTTTAATTTAGCACGAGTAAGCAAACTTTAGGAGAGGAATTCTTGGTGAACACTTATTAAAGTACACTATCATTTGGCTAAACATTATCGTCCTTTTTTATTGGTTTTATTTAGAAAAAGCTAAAACTCCAAATAAAAAAAGACCGCGGAAGAAGATATTGAAATATATGGAGAGCTTATCAATATGGCATTTCAAACCCTTTTTCCCTTGGAAGGCGGGCCATCGCAGATAAGGACAACAAAAAGTGCCACGGCTAAAGGTCAGTCTGTCCAAAGTAAGATGTATGACAAAGCCATTTGGCTTAACCAATAGATATCAGCTAGAGAATGCCAAGAGGATGCACTGCTTGTCCACGAGAAGAACCGATCTAGGGACTCCATTTAGCAAACGAAGAATATTCGCTATTTACTGCCAAAGTGACCGCGCTGAAACTCCCATTGAACAGGTTCAATGAACGGCTGTGAGAGAACTCATTGCGCATGTATACAAGATGGCAAATGAGCATAAATTCTTTCACTGATAATGGGGTCTTTAAAACAATCACTTTGAGGTCGGACTACCTGTCATGTGTGCTCGAACACGACTTCGGTGAATTAATTCTTCGCTGAAAGGTCTTAAAAATTCGGAGTTCTTCACTCCGTCTTAAAATATCCCGCCATGAAATGGGAAGAAACCACATGCAATAAGCATCTATTTCATCTTATGTGAATCCACTAACGGCATGACAAAACCGTTTCCTTTTGATGACATTAATCCATGTTTATGCCATGAAAGTATCTGACATTTGATAGGTGGTACTTCAGACTACATGAAAGGAATCTTGGAGCGAGAAAGCATGAACAGGATGCTCGCCGGCTGTTGAAGCCAGGACTTGCAGACATACCCCAGTTAATTTGTCGCTAAGCGCAAACTAGTTAGGATTTAGGAGTAGTATTTTTTCACTAAGACCCCCAAGCACCCAATAAGGTGAGTAAATACGTCAGGATATAGAGAGAGCCTACCAAATACCGCTCAGAGGAGACACTGACGAGGATCAAATCATCACCGATGCGGACTTTTTCACCGACTGACCGCTGTTTTGAAGCCGGATGGATGGTCCACCAACAGGCTTCAGCTGTAACATCGGGCAAAGAAAAGCGTACAACTTCAAATGCGGATAATTTCTGAATTAGCTGTTATTGCTTTGATTTGGTGACACTTCTTTGAAGTGTTCGTGACTTCACTGTTTTGTTTAAACAGCACTAAAAACCGCTTATACCTTCGAAAGCACCAGAGACAAATTAAGGACGTTTTGAGGCAGAAAAAGGCCAGACTTTCATCAGTGTTACGCTTGCTTATACTTAAAACCGCCAAAAGTTTCTTTGAGCAGTATTACGTACAAGCGTTTAATGAGAAGAAAGAAAATTTGAAAACCCATGTCCAATCTTTAATAAACAAAACAACTTGTTTAACCGTTAATGTTAAGGAATGACTTGAGCCTAAATACATACAATGTAGACTACAAAGTTGCCAACTTTGTGAAAGACCCCTATTTCACAATGATTTATTCCAAGCAAATACAGACTGTTTTGTTTGACACTTGAACTGATGGTTTTCACAGACCCATAAAAAAAGGCATGTTCGACTGAAACGAACTTACTATTAGCTTTGCGCTCGAGGCCCACATCAAACGCCAATTTGTCCTCCGTCGAACTGGTGCCTAGACAAGCCAGATACTAAGCGAAAAAGAGATACTAAGCCAATTATGCCAACTTTTGGCATTTGAAATAAAATTGGGAAACTAGGCGAAGCATACCATACTGCTGTTGCGATGTTTCAGCCTAATAGCGTGTCCGTAGAGAAGGGTGCGATGGCCAGAGGTATGGCTCTGAAAATAAAATAATCCACAGTAATTATAAGAGATTAGAAAAATGGAAAGTTAGGCCAAAGAGTAAGTAGAAATTTACATCGGAAAGCTCGTTGCGACTAGAAAGCATCTCCTGAAGTGCACGAGCTGATAGTGCCTGCTCCAGGATGAAAATGCAGGGAGGCATATTGGCTGGAGGGACCTAAAACAAGTAAAAAGAAGCTATTTTGAGAAGGCAAAATTATCCTTAAAGTAAACCACAGTAAAACAGCGTTTACTAGAACTAACGACTAGTATTATTTGAAAATAAGTGGAAGGGGTACACAACGGAAAATGAATTGGCAATTAGAGACAACTAAATAAAAATATAATGAGATCAACTTAAAGAACCCCCACACACAAGCTAACAAAGTGTAAATAAAATTAAAATCAGCTTTTAGTGATTTCAAAGCGAAAAAGCTTAATCTAATGTGTCCTTACTAACATTACCCCACTTTTAAGCTAAAATATTAGTTCACACATACGTGGGCTGATAAAATGAATTAAACCTATATACGAATCAACACTAGAGCGAGTGAATCAAAACATAATAAGCGTAAGCGAAACACTGGACAAATGCGTGAACTTTTACACGCGTAAAAAACAACCTCCGAAGGTTCTCTTAAATCTCAAATCTTAAATCTAAATCTGTTGGTACAGCTACATTGTTGTCGATTTGTAAAGTAGACGGATAACCTCTTTAGCAATGCTTTCGAGGGAGCACATTCGGTTTCCGAAACCTTCCGCACCCAAGCATAAGCGTTCGGATAGGCCATGTGAGAGACAGCTTAGACAAATGAAGT